GCGATGCCAGCAACCCCTAGTAGTGATCTTGCTCCTAGTAGCGATGCTAGGAGCCCCTAGTAGCGATCTTGCTCCTAGTAGCGATGCCAGGAGCCCCAGTAGCGATCTTGCTCCTAGTAGAGGTGCCAGGAGCCCCTATTAGCATCCTTGCCTCTGCAATTTTGGTGTTGGCCGCAAGGATCTCCATGTTGACTTGGCTGGGCAAGTTTGGGCAAAGCCTCAGCTGAGCGGAGCCATCTTAGAAAGCTCGTCAAGAGAAAGTGAAAAATAAGCCTAAATAAGCAAATCAAGGTCTACATTTCGTTGATAAAGTAGATACAACTGAAAAATGGAAACGGTTCAATAATATTGAATGACTTTGTAGAATCCCCTTGAGTTCATTGATTTTTGATGGGTTTCCAATTGAATGTTAGTTGTTTATTTGTTAGGTTTTAATGAACAATCTCCACCCGACGTCCCTGTATGAAAATGCTATCAACGGTTGCCCAAAAAATCAACTTGCAAAGGAACCCCGAATGAAACCACCAATCTTATATATCAAGAGGTTTTAAACAAAAGAATTCTGTCAGTATGCTTGATATAAACAGTGTATATGAAAGGATGACGTCGATACACGCACTCCAAAGCGGGACTTGACTTTGATTTATTAGGAGTTCCTTTTCAGGCACTCTTAATTGCCAAGGGATTCAACTCCAGATTCATGGCGGTTGTGATGCTAGTGATGGCGACTCGAACGAGAAGCACGCCGTGTAGCAGTAGTAGTAGTGGTAGCAGCAGCAGCCTCAGCAGCAGCAGCAGCAGCAGCAGGAGTAGGAGTAGGAGTAGGAGTAGGAGTAGTGGTAGTAGTAGTAGTAGTAGTAGTAGTAGTACTAGTAGTACTAGCAGTAGTACTGCTACTGCGACTGTTACTGCTAGTATTAGTAGTAGCACTAGTAGTGCTAGCAGTACTAGCAGTACTAGTAGGTAGTAGCTACTAGGTACTAGGTAGTAGGTAGTAGGTAGTAGTCGTCGTCGTTGTCGTCGTTGTTAGCAGTAGCAGTAGCAGTAGCAGTAGGAGTAGCAGTAGTTGTAGTAGTTGTAGTTGTAGTAGTAGTAGTTGTTGTAGTAGTAGTAGTAGAAGTGGTAGTAGTAGTAGCAGTCGTTAGTAGTTAGTAGCAAGTAGCAAGTACCAAGTAGCAAGCAGCAAGTAGCAAGTAGCAGGTAGTAAGTAGTTAGTAGTTAGTAGTTAGTGGTTAGTAGTTAGTAGTTGTAGTAGTAGATGTAGTAGAAGAAGTAGTAGGAGTAGCAGCAGGAGTAGTAGTAATAGTAGTAGTAGTGGTAGTAGTAGTAGTAGAAGCACAGGTCGTAGTAATAAAGGTAGTAGTGAGGGTACTAGTAGTAGTAGTCGTCGTCGCCGCCGCGTCGTCGTCGCAGGAGGAGTACGAGTCAGCAAATGTAAAAGCTGGCTGACTGAGAAAGCCTCCAAATCCGGAGCACCCGTGAACCCCCGACGCGCGGAGTGCTGATTTCAGCACAAAGGGTTTTTTACCGACCCACCCTCCCCTTGAATGCGCAAGTAACGGGGAGATAAACATTAGGCATGTACCGAAGTGAAACAGCACATGACAGCGACGGTTGTTCCACCGTTTTTGAAGACTGTCAATTCACAATATGTTGTTTAAGACCGCTCCTTTTAGTTAAAAAAGGAAATTGTTAGACAAGGAGCTACTCAGTTGGTTCAAAGATTAGCTATCACATCGTGACAGCTTACATCCCTAAAATGCTCTGACACTAAATAAAGTTGAGGATGTGTTTTCTAAAGTTCCTTCACTATAGATCTCCTCCATTCCAGAAGAATTCTCCTCCCTAAACACCCCTCGAACATTATTTCGAGACGGTTTGGGATGGGATCTTTGTTTGTTTAGAGGCGGCCATCAGGAGTGATGGACTTTGTTGGGTAAACAATGAAAAATCTACTAGCAATGGCCTCCAACCTACTGCCTATTAGCAATGGCCTCCACCCTAATAGCGATGGCCTCCAACCTACTAGCGATGGCCTCCACCCTAATGGCGATGGCTCCAACCGCAAAAAACACTAGTTATTTGTGCTTTTGAGGGTATATTCTGATGTTCTGCATCTATCATGCTTTTCTCATGGGCCCCAGACGTCTCCCGCTCCTGCGCAATTAGCTCTTCTGCGAAGCGCTTGGACTGCACCTCACCAATTCAAACGTTCAATTCAAAGTGTTAAAAAAAGGCAAAAAAGAAATGCAAAGAAATGCAAAACAAAAAGTGCTAAAAAGGAAGAAGCATTCTTGTAAGAACTGGTGAGGGGTATATTTACGCCCATGTTCTAAGAGCCGTAGCAAGAGGTAGTCTTTGCAACAATAGAATTATGACTCTTGCAATGCTCTCTCTAACATTAGACACACGGAACTAAGCCACTCAGTTCAGAGTTGGGCAGACTTTCCAGGTTCCCGTCTCAGCTGCACACCACTGCGGTTGAGTTCAAGAGAACCCTCTTGCCTGTCATGCGCAAACCACACACTGCCAAACTACAATGAATCCGGGACGTTTTAGCGTCAGGCCCCAGGTTCCACAAATTTAAAGGATTCAATTCAAACATTGTCGGCCAGACGTGCTGCCACCATGTTCTGACCCTGTGCACCTGCAAAAACAACTCTGGCATTGACATCCTGTTGATTACTCTAGATTTTTCGCATTTGTCAGCAACTTTGCTTCCTTGGTACTTGCTGTTCAGGAATTCTGGGTTCCGCGCCCGGTGTTGTGGTCGCCTGTTCACCTGAAAAGAAGTCGAGAAGAGAACACGCAAATCTGTCACATGTTGAAATCGCTATGGTTTGTTCCTGGACAAAGCTAATCATCTTTCATCACTTGCAACATGCAAAATAAGAAGCCATCACTGAGGGCCTGTGATCTGGTTCAGTCTCTGAGAACGTGTAAATGTAAGACTTCTTCTTTGTACCGCCCTCATGATCTGACCCATTCCTATCCATTTCTGCTCACGCCTTGATGTTGTTCAGACATGATTGGTGGGCTTGGCTCTGCGGGCTGGAAATGGTGCCTTAGGAGTGAAATGAGGCCGAAACGACAGTCAAACAAAAACTTGTTCAAACAGCCGAAAACGGAAAGCAAGAAGCATTTGCCGTTGTTTTTGCAAAACAAAGACCAAAAAAGAACGATCTTCTGACAGAAGCAACTCAGTTCTGAGCGCTTCTTCCTGCTTCTGCATCTCCTGCATGATGGCCAAATGTTAAGCAAATGTTTGTAAACGACTCAAGTGAAGTGAAGCTACCATGCTGTTATGCCAACCTTTAGCTAAGCCTTTCAACTGTTGGTGTCTTGTTTCGATGCAAAAGTTGATCACATAGGTTCCCACCATCTGACAGAAAATGACAATGCTTCTCGTCGTTCCGGATGTTTTTCCTTGCCTTTATGATACTCCTCAGACTGACCTCGGACCTATATACTTGTCACTACTTACATGCGCGCTCTCGGGTCCTCGTGTCTCATCTGTCTCATCTGCTGTGTACTGGGCCGTCCCCACAGAGCAGCTGTGCTATGTGTGCTATATGTGCTGTGTGGATCGGTTTGCATTGCTACTAAAGAAGCTTTGTGTTTTTCTTTGTTTTTGCGTCTCGACTCGTGTGCTTCGTGTTGCTTTCGCTCTCTTTGCCTTTCCCTCTCGTCGCTCTCTCTCGATCCTTTTCTCTCTATCCTCTCATTGCCTTCCGTTCTCTGCTTCCTCTCCTTTTTGGCTTTGCCGCTATGTTCTTCTTCTGGTCTTCTCCCTGTCTGCCTGGCATCAACTGTCTTTGTGCTGCTCGGTGCTCTCTTGGCTTTCTGTGCGTTCGCAACAGGTGCTGCAGGTGCTCCTTTGTCCTTAGAGACTCAGTAAAGCACTAGAGTACTTTGCTGAGGCGAAGCAATCAACTCAAGTCCACAGGATGAATCGCAACTAAAGGACTCATTTTCCCACACTTCTAATTACAACCAATTACACCGGCATAAATAGATGTCACCTTTGGATAAGCCTTATAAGCAAATTCACGAGGCGTTCTTACGTGCAGTCTCTTTGACCCGCCATGATCAATGCAAAACAGGTGATACGCAATTTTGCCAATCCCACCAGGGGAAAACTCCAGAATGCAAAAATTTCCAAGTTCCAGGCGAAAGTTGCGAACACTAGAAGTAAGAACTCTCCAGCTTCCAGCTATCGGAACGAGGCTTTAGGTCATACAGTTTTATGTGCTGTTTTCGAAATGAAAACAGTGCTGGCTGCAACCAAAGCGCCGTTGGCAAATGGCTCTGAACCTGTTCGGCGTTTGACATGCAGGGTTTGGATGCATCGAACGCACACACTACCCAAAAGCTGTTTGCATCAACAGCCCCTTCAAGAACAATCCACTAGAAAGAAACAACTTGAGATGCAAAATCATTCAAAGCCAATATCGAATGCCTTGATCTTGGAAGCAGCTGACCTTTGTCATGTTACGGAGAAGGAACCCTCAAAAAAAACGAGGGTCGCTGCCAGTGTCACTGCATGTGTCAGGAGTTCAGCTTCGTTGTTTCACAATCGACCGAGGTGGTCACCGACTTGATGGAATCTCCTGCACAGAACCACCGAGACTTCTAGCCAATTTAAATGGGCTGTCTCAGTGCCGACGCAAAGTCAGAACTTCAGCATTCAAAGTCGCTATCTCCTCGGTCTCTGCATCAGCATCTACCCTGAAAATTGTGATCTCTTGCATTGGCCTGAATACACTTCAAAAGTCTTGCACTCACAGGCTTGCGGCTAAGTGTTCTGCATGTGTTGCCATGTTTTGCATGATAACAGTGTGGCGTTTCACCTCAACTCTTCGTTCCGTCTCATCATCCGAGACCTCAATTGTCAGCGAAACTTAGATGGAAAACGGAAAGCGATGGCCTCCAACCTAGTAGCGTCCTTGTTCCTAATAGCGATGCCCTTTGTTCCTAGTAGCTTCTTGTTCCTAGTAGTAAGTCCAGGAGCCCCTAGTAGCGTCCTTGCTCCTAATAGCAATGGCCTCCAACCTAGGAACTTCTAGGTTGAAGGCCAAATTGTTTCTGCTAAGCCATCTGCGTATTTTCCTCCTCCTTAGGGGCCTGCAGTCTGCGTTCGCGGATTGTCATAGCTCTATTTGACACAAACAAAGATCAAGAATCTGTTCATGGATAACTCTACCGGGAAACTGCATGAAAGTCTTTGGTCAGTCCATTGCGACCACGCGCAAGATTTTTACACATATTACAATGTGTACAACCTCGTCAACGCTTGTGTGTTTGAATGCCTCAGCTCCATTCGCCAAGTGTATGAATATCCTGTCAAGGCAAAACTCCAGAATCCGCACCCACAAATCAACCGATTCTGGAAAGCAAAACGAAATCGTTTCAATGAAATGAGAAGCGCCCAAAAACATGCCAATGCTACAGCAGCAGCCGGATCATAGCAATTTCTGCCACTTACAAGCCTCAACGATGACTTCACTTCAATGACTTCAATGTCATTGTTCACAAATAACAAATTTCAGGTTCAAACGCTAAGTACAAAAGAGTTCAAGATGAGAAGCACGCACAGCTGGAGCAAGGCCCTGCACCTGCCGATCAATGTGATTTGTAGACCGCAACATTCCACTGCTTTGCAACGAAAGCTACCTGGCCTCTGCTTGCCAATGTGTCTATAGAGATGTCAAGGCATCAAACAACGACATGGACCTCATCTGCTCGAGCAATTGCCATGAACTTACTGCACCATATCACAATGTCTGGAATCCTTGACTCGTTGAACACCAAGTCGTTACCCTTTTGAGTTCCCTGCTTTGGCCGACCCGGCAACTCACACCCAAATGGCCACAAATCCGAAAAACAAACCATGCAAATGGAATCAAAAAGGATGCTAAGTGCTGGGAGACAAATAAACACAAGTGTAAAATCACGGCCAAAGCACCCACAAGCGAACGGAGACAGTGGGAGGCCAGTGGGAGACAAATGTAACGGCTAGAGCCACAAGGGACTGGAGACAGTGGGAGACAAGTGGGAAAAACATGCGGCCAAAGCACCCACAGAGACAAAATGTAAAAATAATGCGGCCAAAGCACCCACAAGCAAATCGAGCCAGTGGGAGACAAGTGTATAAAATCATGCGGCCAGAGCACCCACAAGGGCCCTCTGCCGCCGTCACATCACAGGTCTGTTCTACCCCTTTTCTCTAAGGAACGGGGCTCCTTGAGGTATCTACTCTTGAATTTACCTCATCTAGCATCGTTTGGAGTCTATGTATCTCATAGCCGAGCATATCTACTTGTTGAAATTGTCCTCTTCCTTCTAATACTTATCGTTGCGTACTTAAACTGTTGATCTTCATCTCAAGTCGACCGCGGAATGCATCCTTCTGTTTTTCTTCATATTCCATGCTGCTCGCATATTCTGCATTTCCTGGTCTGAATGATCTTGATCCTGATCCTGGTCCATCTCCAGGAGCTGCTCCTTGAGCCGCTGCTTGTAGCATCACAGTGTGTCCATGATACTGTTCTCTTGTCGATCTCAAATCTTCTGAGCTCCTTCTGGCCAAGTAATTTCCTGCGTTTGTTTCTGGGATCATATCATAGCCTTCTCTACACAGTTCTAATTCTTCTACAAAGCCTCCAGTGAGAATCAATCCACAATGAATTTCCCTGGTATGGTTTATTGTCATGTTATCATTTGAAAAAGTTTCTTGGATGCTTGAAGAAGACTATGGACTTCTGTTTAGTAGTTGAATTTCCGCAGGCAGGAGAAGGCTGTGTGAAGAAAGGTCTAGTGTGCCTAGAGACATTTTCAGACTCAGACTTCATCTTCATCTTCCTATTCTTATTATTACTATTCTTCTTCTTCATCTTCTTCTCTGTCATCATCATCGTCATCACCCGCTTTCTCACTTCCAGCATTCCTTCCGCCTTCCACCAATTCCAGCGCCTCTTGAACCCAATCAGGGTCGCTGTTGGTCAACCGTGTGCGCCCGGAAAGCAACGCCCTCAGCCACCCCAGTGGGACGATGACCGGCACGGATGGCTTCCAACCACCATTGATTTAAAAGCATGAATCCCACAAAACCTTGTAAGACTTAGAAGGCCAAGGAAGGGGGATCCTTTTCGGAGTGCTTCTTTTCAAACCGCTCGGTGTGAAGCAAGCACCTCCACCTCCAAGCACTCCAAGTCCGACTCCGAATCGGAACTCGGATTCGCCGAACTGGCTGTGCCAGAGGAACCGTGCCTTTTTCTCGAACCAACAACCTGGGCGGACCTGGACAAATGAGCGCTGCGGGCAGCTGTGCAGAAAGCAAGGCCGCTAAAGGCCGAGAACGACTGCCCCAAGTCACGGCGCCCCGAGTCACGGCTCTCCGCATCGGAACTGGAGCCCCGGAAAGGACCACCGCCAAGGGCATGGCACTCTGCAGCGCAGGCGGGGCCAAGGCCACGTGGCCCGAGCTGTTGGAGCGAAAAAGTGAGTGAAGAACAGTGAGTGAACTGCAGCAAAGTAAAGCGATAGTGTAGACTTCATTCCACCTGGACACCAGTAGAACGATGGAGAGAAGTTGGACCATTGGGTCCAGGAAGTCCACACCACCTCCAGGACTTCGGGCCTTGTAAGGGAAGAACTTCAGGCTTGTCCTTTTCTTCGAATCTTCCGATGACCGACCGCAGCTCCGCAGCCTTTTGGATGAACGACTCCGGTTATACAGCAACTTTGCAACTTTCGGAGAAGGAGCTAAAAGAGCTGTGTGGCAACTGACTCCTCCTAAACATCCCTAACCCACTTAAATATCCCTCTCCTCTGCCTCTTCATCTTGCATCTCCAAGTGACTTGTACTTCCCGCCATCCGGCAGCCGCACGGTCATCGACTGCCCAGGCACAGCACCAGGGGGGCACCTGGCGAAGAAGACGATGTGACACGTGTGTGCCCGCAAGGCTCGGCTAATTTCATGTTGCAATGAAAAGGTTGGTGTGACCGAGTGCGCGCCAACTTGTGATGAAGAAAGGAGCTGGAAAAAGCAGACATCTAGATGGAAAGTTGCTGTGGATTCAGAACCAAAAAGATTTCAACATGGTACAAGTACCAACAGACAGCAACATGGCAGACATCAACCCAAAACCACTTGGAGGCAAAACAATAAAATGTATGATGAACTTTGTTGGTTTTTGGCACAATGGAGAGCAAACAAGAGTGCGTGAGCGTGAAAGAAAAGAGTATGAAGAGAAAAAGAATTCCGCAGGCAAGGTCAACAAAATCGCCAAGATGATTGTCAGAATCGTGACTTTTGAGGGTTTGCAGCCAATGGTTACAGAAGCTACTGCCTTCATCAGAGAGATGAACTAGTGCAGGTTGGAAGTAGAGGACTCCAATAGAATCAAATTTGAAAATTGCAATTGTCATGATCATTGTCTTCGGCTTTGCAGCAATGACTTTAGCAATGTGGATGTTCTGGAACTATGTGATGTTAAATGTTCTGGAACTGGAAAATCACAATCTTCATGGTCATTATCTTTGGTTTTATAGCAATGACCTTCGCAATGTGGAGACTATGGAAGTATGTGGAACA